AATTAAATTTTAATGATTAATTTTATAAATATATTAAATATTATGTTTTCTTCGTAAAAATCACATTAAAAAACCTTCAAAATAAGGCTTATGACTTTATATATAAAATTTCTATAAAACTATATGAAAAAACTTTCAGTTACAATTTAAAATACGCCCTATAGTCATTAGGCCATATATGATTTTAATTTTATAATCATAATGTTTTATCGAATAAGTGATGCAAACAAGTTATAGGTTTTCAAATAAAGTCATTTATATAATAATTTTTTATGATTATAAATTTATAATATTATATAATAATATAATTGTATTATTTTTATATGTCAATGAAATTCTCTTCTTTCAGCCTGTTACGAAGGTAGATTTGTTCCAAAGAAGAATTAACTTTTCAAAAGTTTTTAAATTAAGAATTTGACATTCTTTCTTTAGTAAATAAGATTATCAAATTTCAAAAGTTTCCAATAAAAAATAATATGACATTTACAATTTTTTTTAAAAGGATTAAGTTGATGTTATATTCTTGATTGAAAATTAATAATAACTTAATTAGTAATATAACAAAGGTCATATTGTTGATTAAAAACCTTTAAAAAGTAATAACCTTAATTAATAATAAAAAAATTATATCCTTAATTAAAAGATTTTTAAAAAGTTGTATTCTTTTTTATAGCAAGTCTCCCCATGTGAGCGTAACAAACTAAAGACACCAAATGAGATCCATATTTTCAGTTTATGTCAAAAAACAAAAGTGTTCATGAAAAAGAAAAAGAAGAAATAAAGTAAAGCAGAAAATTCAACAAATAGTAGTATGAATCTTTTGTTTTATTGTCTAAATTCAACTAGACTACAAAGTAAAAATCATTTGATAGGAAGATTGTAAAAACTTTTAGTATAGTGAAGAAATCTTTAATAATAAAATTTTCATAACAATATAGCAATGAGATTAACAAAACCAAAGATAATGAGAGAAAAAGAGAAAGATATGATCTTATGTAATTCGGGATGCTATTAGAACATCATGATACATTAAGGTCCTTTAGTTCACGATATAAAGTGGGTTTTGTAAGTTAAAATAATAATTAATTAAAAGATAATAAGTGGTATACTATTTGG